GCCTTTCCTTAACACTTACCAAGGCTGCTTTTGTCGATGCATTTAAAGCTTTCAACTGAAGCAGACGATTTTTCCATTGTGCTGCTAACTCTTGGACAGCATCTATCTAAAAAGGGGGAAAGAAAAGCACATTTTTATTACTGAAGACTTAAAGACAAAGGAAAAGTGATCTGGCAACTGAACTGAAAAAAGATACCCAGAATTAAAAAAGAAACTTCATTAAGCCAAGAAGACAGGATTTTTGCTTTCCTGAAACTTCAAGGTAAGGAGTTGACACCCTTGCTTTTAGCAGAGAATTCCTTTAAACTCTCTTACTATTGCCCTTAAATTCAACCTTTGTACTTTATACAGGGATAATATTAAAAAAAAAGTTCTAGGGCTTTTTAAATCCAAGTTTTATCTCTTTCTTAATTAGATGCCTGGGGAAAAAAGTAACAAATGACATAAGACATAAAAGTTTTAAATATATGAGAACAAACTCTTCAATCGCTGTTTGATTTCTGGCCTGTCTAGTTACGTGCTCACTCAATAAGCTCAAGTCCTAAGATTTGCCTTAGCTTTTTACACATCTTCAGAAAAAAAAAAAACCACTTTCAAAACACTGTAATTCAGAACCTTTTAACAGTATCATCCTGAAATACTCAGTTTTGACGACATTACCTTCCTTAACTTTAATCCACTCCTTTAACGCGTTCCATTGGATAACTGCACAGAACAGTGCAGCAGTAAATAGTATCTATGTCTTGATAACTGTGATTTAGTATTAAACAAGATACTGCAAAGTCTTAAAATAACCTTTCAGTAATTTTAAACATGAATTTCCTAAATTGATGTTTAAATTTAGCAACACATCTAATTCAACACCTGGCCTAATTGATTTTTCCTTAAAACCTAAACAAGTAAAACATCTAATGTCCCAAATGCCTTTATGAATGGAATTAATAATCTTTTTGTAGACAAATTCCTTAATTTTTCAAAAAAGTCTTACAACAGAAACATCAATAATTCTCCTGTGTCTAGTCACATGCTGGAAGATCATGTTAGTAGGTATCTGCTTATACAACAGACCAGAAAATTCAGATTTTGACTCAGTTTAAGAGTAGAAACATGGAAAAGACATGTTGTACTTAAACATTTTGTGAGAGAACTGTATCATACAGTTATCATCTCTACATTGAGAGTTTTGTGAACTTGCATCTACTACTTTGGTGAGACCATCATTTTTTTTTTTTTTAAATAGCTAGGCATAGCATATTGTTCAATCATTTTGGTTTATTATTTTAATTGAAGTTTAAAAAAATTATGTATCTCTTGTCTCTGAAAATGCAATTCTGGTAAATCTAAACATATGAAGCCAGAGTGGTGACAACAGCAATTTCTTCTGATACACAGAACCAAGAACAAAAAGAAAGAGTGAAATTTAGCTTAAATTAGTTTATACTTGCCACCAGCCTAATTTCCACCAGCCTAATTTCCTTCTTGGCACAACATTAAACTCTGCTAGCTTCCTTGATATTGACAGGACTATGAGGAAGGAACAATACAAATACATTGAGAGATGTTTTATGTAAAAACATATGTGTTACTTCCAAAGGCATATCTATACTTCTAAAAAAGAAGTATCTGCTATTTTCATCATTAGTTCCCTGCAACAAAGGCATGTAAAAGAACAAGGTCAAATAAACTTTGTCAGTCTTCTATTTAAAGCACTAGATAACCAGCTACAATAATCAAACTGATTAATAGCATATGAGATTCTAAATTTTTGAGACAGCATTCCAGTAACTTCTACAAATAATACACAAGAGCAGGGACAAGATTAAGTTAAGGAGTGTCCAGCAGCTACTTCTGGATAATCTCCCAGAGTTGGGAGCTAAATGAGTAAAGAGTTGCCATTTGAAGAATAGGAATAAGTCCTGTCCCAAAGAGTGTCCACACCAGTATTGTTTAAATACTTACATAATTCCCAATCATATTCTTTGCTCTGCTGTCATAATACTCCAGACGTAGCTCTTCTGGTGAGACATCCGAAAAGCCTGCAAGGACAGGAATAGTTAAAAACCTCCAAGAAAACACATTCATACTTACAATCACCAGCTACAAAGAAATGAGCCTTGGTACATTGTCTGTCCTAAGTCAGTCACAGTCGGAGACACAAAAAAGATCCATTACAGAATTTCAGAGATGTCAACGCCCAAAATGAATTTGCCATAACCTCATATTCCTTTCTGTTGTATCAAAAGGCAAATCATGACCTTGCAAACGGTTCCACAGAGGTATAACAGTGTAGGCAAGTCACAGAAACATCGTACATAGCAGCAATATGCAACAACATTAAAAACGTTACCTACCTGAGACATTCATCTTTTCTTTCATTGGTGAGTAAGACGAAAATATCCATTGCCCAGAAGATTCCCAAATTTCCATGTCTTTCACTACACATTCTCTACAAAACAAAGCAAAACCACAGATGAAGGTGAAATTACATGGTCAAAACAAAACCACCAGAAACAATTACCTGGTTTGAGTCCAAAGTCAAAATCAAATACCTGCTACCATGAAAACAATGTTACCTTAAGCAGTTAAAATCTTAAAAAAAGTAATGGGAAGTGGTTCCAAAACCTGTTTTCTTTGGGAAATTACACTGCTTGCTGCTTCTCAGCACTTGCCCTATAATCACCTTGAATCTGCTGGTCATTCTCAGCAAACCAGGTTTCAATAGTTCTGCTGTTGGCAGAAAAATTTGTTGTCTTGTCTGAAAAACCAAGTCAAATAATTCATTTTCCCAAAGGGACTCTGACCCTTTATTTTCAAGCACTGAAATATTTGTTTCATTCCTTATCCTTCTGCCCACAACTTAAATACCATGCCATCTTACTAGTATCACAGCTGTCTAGCTGCCCAGCTCAGGTCCCAGACACAGATCGCTTCCTTCCCATGCCAGCATCACTCCAGAGAACCAAATGAAGTTGTGTTCTCTATGGTTCTTTCTACGTGTCCCAGCTTACTCCTCATGATCCTGTTCCCTGCATTATCTCTAAGAAGTCAGTAAGCTTTTAAACTGCTCATTTTAAATGCATTCAGTAAGACAGGACCATAACTTACAGAAGTCTCTCCTCTTCATCTTTGGAGCCATCAGCAACACTCTGACTGGTCGCTAATGCCGAGAACCTGTTCTGTGAGAAGTCTGCATTTCTGCTGCTGCCGCCTGATGATCCAAAGTCAGAGGAGCCAAAGAATCCTCTTCCATGATCTCTGCTGCCACCCCAAGTATCAGACTTGAAGGTAGATGGCTGGATAACATTGCTGTACCTCTGGTTAGAGGAACCCCATCCTCCTCCTCTGCCACTAGTAACTTCCAAATAAAAAAACAAACAAACAAACAAACAAAAAAGCAAACAACAGAAATTTTTAATCATTAAGATACAAAACAAAGAGCATCATCAACAACTGTGAGTATAACCAATCTTACGGTGGCAATAAGAAGTTTAAAATGAAAATGTAGGTTTTTTTCCTAATGAGTTAACCTCATTATTTAGTGAGCTTTACCTAGTGAGTTATGCATGCTAGTTCATGAGTCAGAGGTAAATGCGAACTTCTCCTCCTCACGTGGAATCACAGAATAGTCTGGGTTGGAAGGCACCTTTAAAAATCATCTAGTCTGACCTCCCCTGTGCCACAACAAGCACCTTCAATGAGATCACCGTGCCAACAACCCGTGGCATCCCAGAAAGAGACTGCTTCAGTCTTGTTGAGGTCATTTCACGAATAAACTACCCCAGCAGAAAAAAATTTACCTCACCATGTGTTTGCATTAGGAGCTCCTGCCTCCTGCTCTGCTGCAGCACAGAGAGCTCCAGAATTCCGTTCTGAGGCCTTAGACACGTCTGTGCATGTGTTTTACAAACTCCGACCCTCCTTCAGCAGGACTGAGGACAAGTAACTGCAGCTGTGTTCCTGCCATCCCTGCAGCTCTCAACTCCCCATCATGTCACTCGCCTTTCCAAAGCTCCCAGACACACAGAGCCAATAAATAAGAACAGAAACAGCCTTCACTGGCCACAACATAAGAATGCTGGAAACTTGCGTGCTGCTCTTGGCAGGAAAGCTCCCGGAGCTGCTTTCCCACGGCACTGTGGCACATCCCACGGTCACAGAATCACAGAATCAAGTAGATTGGAAAAGACCTCTGATATCATCGAGTCCAACCTATGACCAACACCAAGCATGCCAACTAGACCATGGCACTAAGCGCCAGTCTCTCCTTAAAAACCTCCAGGGACTCCACCACCTCCCCGGGCAGCCCATTCCAATGCCTAATCACCCTTTCCGTGAAGAAATTCTTCCTGACGCTCAGCCTACACAGTCCCCGGCTCAGCTTAAGGTTGGTTATGTCCTCTCGCTGGTTGCCTGGGAGAAGAGACCGACCCCCCCCGCACACACACACACACACACACCTAGCTTTACAACACCCTTTCGGGTAGTCGCAGAGATGATACAAGGTCCCGCCTGGTCCTCCTCCTCCTCCTATCCAGGCTAAACCACCCCGCAACTCCCCTCAGCCTCTCCTCACAAGGGAGGAGACCTGCTCTACGGACCCTTCGGGGTGAGGGGAGGGGTGAGGGGAGTTACCTTGCGGGGGCGGTGCGGGTCCCCCTGCGCGGCCGGCGCCGCGGGGGTGCTCGTTCCAGCAGCGCTCCCCGAAGCGGCAGTGGCCCCGCAGGAAGAACTGGCACACGCCCATTGGGGACGCTCCCGGTCGCTATGGCCGCCCCGCTTCGGCCGCCGCCGCCGCCGCCGCCGCCGCCCGGCCCGCCGCCCGCTCTGACGTGACAGGCGCGCGCGCAGGGCGCGCGCCTGTCACGTCAGAGCGGGCGGCGGGCCGGGCGGCGGCGGCGGCGGGAATGAGACGATAAAATGTCCCGATAGACGGGCAGAACCACACGTTCAGTAGCACAGCATTCCAGCACACGTTACTTCTGAACGAACTTCTCTTGAGTTCAGAGTGGTGTATGGTGACCTGCAGCAGGGCGCTGAGGTGACGGGGACGGCCAGAGGCGCTGGCAAGTCTGTCCAAGCAAAGCACCGCTGGAAGGCGAGGCAGAAGTGGCCGTGGCTGCGTTGAAGGCTCCGAAGGCCGGGAGCGGAGCGGTGGTGCCGGAGGAGTTCACAGCGGCGGCACCGCCAAAGCCCGAGAACCCAGAAGTCCCAAAGCCACCAGCTGGTGCAGCTGTTTTGAAGGAGAAGGAGGCTGCAGACGGAGCTGCCGGGCTGCCAAACCCAACAGGTTGGGGCGCGCTGGGAGAGGACGTCACCCCAAACGCAGGAGCGCTACCGGCAGCAGAAGAGACCTCGGCAGCAGGGCTGGCTGCAGATGATGAGGAACCGATAAGGCTGGAACTGGCTTTAAAGGAGAAACTGCTGGCACTGGTACTGCTGCTGCTGCTCACAGGAAAGCCTGCAAGTACAGAATTGATAAAGAAGATTGCAATGGCTACCCCAGTCACACTAAACCACTGCTGCATTTCAAAGAACACAGCAGCGGAGAAACTCCAGAAAACATTTGTATCTAATGGTTCTTCGGCCAGGAACTTACTTGAGAGCCCAAAGCTTGATGTCTGCTGTCCTCCCAGTCCAAAGGCAGGAGATGGTTGAGAGCTCGTGTTCTTGAAAGCAGAGAGCTGAAAAAATTCCAAAGACATAAGTGAACACTGGATTCCAAAATAGGGAACTGTCTTTCAGTAAATACTTGAAGCAAAAATAGAGCTGCCCAGTCTGACACGGATCACTTTCATCATGATCACATGCTCTTGCGGTTATGAACAAAACGCTTTCAGTCTCTACACACTCTTTTCTAGAAAAGCACTGCAGAAATGCAAATCTGTTACAATTTATAGATTTTTGCCTGTCAGTCAATGACTTGATCACCTCTTGCAGCTCTCGGTCTC